TATGTCATATTGCGTTGTTAGTGTTTTTCGATACTGTAGTATTTTCGATTCTCATACATGTTTCGATTGAAAACTGTTTGTTAGTCTAAGTAAAAAGAATTTACGTGGTTGAAAGTTGGTTAGAACCTAAGTCTCTTAGAAATCGAAATCGACCAAATTTTCACCGAAAACAATAACATAAAAAATATTTATATAATTATATTATTAATATATTTTTATAAATATAGTAAATATAAATATATTTAAATACTTATTTATATTTTTATAAATATAATAAAATTCAATAAATATATATTTATATTTTTTTATATAACATTTTTACATAAATATAATAATTTATTTATGGATTATAATGTCATGTTACAAAACTATAAATCTATGAGAAGTTGATCCCTTAAAATCAAGGTTACGTGCATAATGATTTTTTTATGTGACCTAGACTAGAGTGTGACAATAGGAACATTTATTTGGATGACTTTTTTCATGGATATTCATTTCAGATCCTATATAAATTCATATTTATTAAATTTATTTAAATATTAAATCTATAATCTTATAATTTATTTATATTTTTCTAATTTTTTACATCAAAGTCATTATTAAATAAATTATTATTCATATAATGTCTTATATAAATTTATTTTTTATTTATTATTCCTATAAATTATCATTTTAATCAATGTTTTTCTTCAACTAATATATATTAAATAAATTTTAAATATTATATATATTAAATATATCTATAAAATTATATTAAACATATAATTATAGAAATATATTTTTATCATATAATTATATAAATAAATATTTAAACTATATATATATATATATTATATTTATTTACTAAAAATATTTTTATTAAATAAATACTTAAATATTATATAAATATTATATTATCATATATATATAAGTATATATAAATATATTAAATATATAATTATACAATATATTTTTATTATATATAAAAGTATATATTTATATTTATTATATATTATATTTAATAAAGTTATAATATATATATATATATATGTATTCTATTTAATCAAGTATATAACAAAATATAAATATGTATTTATCATATTTATAAAAAAATATATAAATATATTAAAGTATAATAAAATTATTTATATATTTCTATGAAAAAATATTATTTTTACTTACTAAAATTATTTTATATTAAAAATATATTTAAATAATATATATAATTTATTTATGTAAAAATGTTAAGTAGAAAGATATAAATATATATTTATTAAATTTTATTATATTTATAAAAATATAAATATATATTTAAATATTATATATATTAAATATATTTGTATTTACTATATTTATAAAAATATATTAATAATATAATTATATAGATATATTTTTATGTTATATAAAAAATATATTTATATTTATTTCATATAATTATGTAAATAAAATTTAAAAAATATATATATAATATTTATATTTTAATTTTTATATTTAATAAATATTATTATATTTTAAAAATTTTGGAATTCGGTGTTTAGTGAGCCAAATTTCAACCATTTAATAAAATCATACTATTTGCGTAAATAATTCTCAACAGCAGGTAATTTTTCTCCAATTGTGTGCTTGATCCGAACAAAAATCACTGTTTTTACTGTTGAAGTGAACCAAAATAAACTATTTTTGGATTAATTGAATTGTTCTTAACATTTTAAAGTCAAACTATTATCTATTAAACTAGTCTCAATTATTTGTTGAAAAGAAAAATTTAAGGGTACATTCATATAAAATTATAACCTATTGCTGAACTGCTAGGCCTATTTGTTAGTTTGAAGCAGATTTGAAAGAAAATAGTTTTGATTAAATGTAACGAGTTTTTTCACTTTTCATCATTTATATTTTTGAAAGAAAAAATAGAGAAAAGAAAAGGATGGGAATACAAAAATCAAAGGAGTGTTAATAGCATGGGCCCGGCCTACAAAAAAATTGATAGTCCAACAACTAGTTAAGGTATTATTACTCACCCCACCTCCGTTACCTATACCTTCTCTCTAGGTTTCAGTTTATTTTTTAATTTTATAAATGTGTGATGTTAATCCTATAAGAAACTAACTGTACGTTTAGTATTTCAATTTTTTTAAATGAAATAATTTCGTTTCATTATTAATATGTTTTTTTATTTTATAATAAAAAACATTATATAAATGAAAATGATATTATTGTCGTCTACTTATTCATGTACAATTTAACAACAAAGTTATTCTATTAACAATGAGAAAAAATAAAAAAAGCTGAAGGTCAAATATGTAATTGAAATTTTATAGGAGTTAATATTATATATTTATTTATGAAACTATGTGGACCAAAAGGGAATGCAAGTCTAAAATATATTTAAACATCATAAATTTGTATATTTAAAATAACTTTAATCTTAACTTTTATATATGTTAAACTTATATTTCAGGTTTTGTCATTTATAATTCTTATATTCAACTTGAATAAGAACAACATTTTTTTACAGCAGATAGAAAATAAAACATGATTTAATATGAATTGTGATTGAAGTTAATTTAAAACATACATTGTTTTTTAATTGATTAATTAAAAATGAATTTCCTTAAATTTTTAACCAGGGGGTTCGCTTAATATATTTTTTAGTCCTTTTATTATATTTTTATTAATTACTTGTTTAATAAATAAAATATTAACATTTTTAGATATTAATGTCATTTTTTATTGAATTAATATTTTAATAAACCATACGAAAACTAATGAGAAGAAATTATTGAGCAATAGTATTATTTTTTTTTATTATTCTCAAAATTCTAAGTAGAAGGTTTATATGAGATAATCACTTCTTAACTAGTACTTTAACATGATATAACATATCATATAAGTTTATTTTATATAATTCAGGTCATAATAAATCAATACTTCTAAATATATAAATTATATCATAATTAAATTTGTAATAAAAAATTATTCAAATTTATAAGTTATGTATATTATTTAAAATTTAAGATAAATAATTTATATTATCATGCAATGTTATTTTAACTATAAATAATTTTAAAAATATTGTAATTTAAGCTATAACTTAAAATAGATAGTTAGACAGTGTTAGGTGAAAGTTAAGATGTTGTAACTGAAAATTGAAAAGCTTTTTTGTTGGTGAATGTTGAAAAATTAGCTGATACACAACTTAGTAGCTGGTCCTGTTAAACTAGTTTATTAAACTATAAATGTTTGAAAAAGGAATTAATTAAATTAGTTGATAAATATAAATGATAAAACTAAATATGTTATGATATTTTTATATAGCTAAAATGTTATTTGAGAATAATTTTAATTTTTAGTTAGTTTTAAACTCTTATAATATGTTATTTATAGACTAAGTATTTTAATTATATTTTTTACTTCAATATATATATAAATCGCCTTTACATTTACGACTCCAGTAAAAATATTGAAAATTTTAGCTGAAAATACGACTTTTTGTCTCGTGCCATAATTCTTTTAAAATATATTCATATTCGTAATTTTAAAAGTGAATTGCAGCGTTTTGGATGGTTTTGCCTCGAATTCCCAGTAGCAGATTTGAAGCTAATGTTTCTCATACTTGGTGAGAAGCAAAAGAATTTAGTTCAGTTCAATATGATGATATCTCAACACACTAATTTCAATTTTTTCTATGAATTCATCTGATCCAACAACATCTATGATAAAAGTTTGAAGTTCTGTCAAGTCTATAACTTTTACAAGAAAATTGAAATAGATAAAATTTAGCTATAAACTTCATGTCTCAACTGTGTATTTATCATTTATTCACTATACATATTTAGTAGAATAAAAGTATAAAACAGTAAAAATTGGAAGAAAAAAAAATCAGTACCAAATTATTTTATCTTTCATCTCTTATAATTTTTTATATTCATTTAAAACATTTTTTTTTTCATCAAAGCAACATATTTTTTCTTTCATGGGAGTAATTTTTTATTTATACATTTAGTGAAAATATGAAGTGTCCTATGACATTACGTCATATGCGGATCCTTACCTGGTTGTATTGAAGTTGACGACAATTTTTTTAAAATTATTTTAAATTTGATGTTAATGATGTTGGCGTCACATGTATTGTTTTGTCAGATCTTACATGACACTTTACAAAGTTAAGGAACACCAAGAAACCATTGTGAAAAACAAAATTGTTAACATAATTTTTTTTCTAATTATCTATACGACTCCATTGGACTTGGTTAAAATTCAGATGTTGATATCGCTTATTCCAAATGGAAGAAAGAAACTCAGACGTTTATTTCAAAGCGGAAAGTGTGTCACTAAAAAGTCTGCCTATAATTTTTTATATAATTATTTTTTAAAAGTATTATTATAAATTGTTTTATTTTCTTTTTTTTACTCTTTAAATATATCTAATTTTTTTCTTTTTCATATTTTACTATTTTTTAAATATATAAATTATAATAATATTTTTTTCTTAAATTATAACATTTATTTCTTTAAAAGAAAACGTTAAAAAAATTCCCTTTACTTATGGATGAGATATCTTTAACAATTTATCCTGATGTTCTTGGTGTCCCTTTTTCCCTCTTCATAGAACTAAACCCTAAAAAATATTAAAATATTATATCCATATCAATGCTTTCAATTGTTTTCTTTGCACATGAACAAATGACATGAATTTCTATCATCTCTTATCATCATATTGCATTCATATAGTGTATAATCACACATCCCCTAAACATTTGCATTTATCTTTTCATTCCTGGAAGTCTGATTGAAGTCCAACATTCATTATTATAAATATAAATAAAGGTAATAACAAGACGATAAAACTTTCCTTTGAACAAGATACTCACACTGCAATCACTATGGGAAGCATATTTCAACAAGCAAAGATATATATTTTATTGCAAGTTTACATCCTCCACTACAGAAAAAGATGATACCCGCATTGTTTTATTTTGCTGTCCAAACACTTCATGTTCTTAACATAACAAGATTTCTTACTTAAGATGTTTATCAAACCAGTTCACCAAGTCCAGATGGGCCTCCTCTGCAGCCTTTACAGCTTCTGCATCTTCTTTGCTGTACCTCACACTCCAGCCATGGGAGACTTTAGGAAATATTTTAACAAAACAATCAACCTGCAACAAATAAATATCCACTTGTTAGTGTTAACTTAAACACATCCGACTTTCTATTTTGAGTGCAGGAACGTTAAATAAGCTATTAATCATGACAAAGTACACAACTTTCTCCTCAATTGGAAAACTATATCCATTAAAATAAACATGAATGAACGGGGATGGGTCAAGTGTACACCTCCAAGAAAGAAAATACAAACGAGTTATAAATGGAATGCGAAATGAAATTTGAATAAAGCTAAGCTTTGAATAGAAGAATCAATTCCAACTTGTCTGTAACCATCAAAAGCAAAAAAAACAAAAAAAAGAACAGAAGAAAGAAGATTTCATCTTGTAATAGTAGACCAAAAAAAATCAACATAGTGACCGTAACGTAATATTATTAGCAAAACATTAAGGTAATATAAAATGATGGTAGATAACCACAAAAGAAATAAAAGACAACCCCAGGTTTTGAAGTTAGGACTTGTTCAAACTGTTTCACAAGCTCTGGAGGAGACATTTTGTCAATCTCAGCTCCAAGTACAGCAGTTGGAATATCAACACCTGAAGGAGGACAAATAATTGGCAGTTAGAAAATGAAAATCTTAGTCACATCTGCTAATCACTGTTCAGAAATTATATGTGTATTAGGTGGTATGGACCAACTTTCAATAAAATAGAACCAGTGACGACGACAAGGAAAGAGATTTTTTCAAATAAAAAATGTAAATTATATTATCTTTAGATAGCAAACTGTTGTCCTTAAGAAATTTGAACAATATGAAAGCATAGGCCATAGACACTCCACCTTCTATTTGTTTCCTGCTTTTCTTTCCAAAATCTTTAATTACTCTCTCTCTCACACACACACATATATATACCATGGTTGTTTTAGGTTTTAATCACCTTCCAGACAAAAATAATCATCCATAAGCAAAGTGTAAGGTAAATTATTAATCATTGAACTATTTTGAATTTTTTTAATAGGTCTCTACACTTTAAAAGTTTATCATTGGATCCCTAACTAGGGTTCTAATAGGATTCCATGGACCTATTTGAAAAGTTTTAAATAGTCTAGGTACGGGCGGAGCCAAGGCTTTAAGATACGAGGGCCAAATATAAAATCTATTTATCTTTTTTTCAGTCAATAAAATGGGAAATCATAAAAAATATATTAATATTAAAAAAAATTTAAGTTATTGATAGACTTTCACCGAGAAGTTGTGAAAGATTTTGTAGGGTTGAAGATCTTGGTGTGTGCGGTTTTTAATTCATGTTCTCTAGAAGGATTCTTATAAAACATTGAATATTAAAAGATTAGTCTAATCACAATGATTAGACAACTAAGTGTAACTCTCTTGTGAGAATGAACCAATATAAATTCTTATACATTTTGAATTTTAAAATCTAAATTAAAATCAATTCTTGTTAAAATGAAAAGTCAAAGAACATTATATTTTCATTTATTTGAGGTTAAACATATTTCTTGATAAGTCTATCTTTGATTCAAAGAAAACAATTCATCCATTTTAGAAAATCTTCAAAAGTTCAATTTGAACGCAGACTCTATTTCAAACATCTTGAAGTGATGCAGAACCCAATCACCTAAACATGCTTAAATTGATGGTATGACAAGATTTTGCAAAATAATTTTGATTGGCATTCTTCCTTATAAGTTGTAAGAGGTAGAGTAATCTTACATGAACAAATATGCAAATTAAGAAATAATCTAAATATTGAAATCCATACCCTTGATGTCATCCACAGAGACAAATGATGGATGTAAAAGCACAGCAACTTGGATTAGTCTGGATTTTGCAAGTTCAACCACGAGTTTAGCTGTGGGATTGAAGAAAAGCGTACATTCTGTGAGTTTTATTACTAACCTTACTATGTTTAAAACTTCAAACCAAACCAATAATTATGCCTAAGAGGAGCTGAAAGTGCTATGTAGTATATTAGGAGAGGGGTAAATAAGCAGTCCAAATAAGTGAAACAGAATAACAAACCTCCCCAGCAAAATCCAGCAGCCCCAATAGCCGAAACCCCTTTACTTTTCAAAGCTTCAATTATGGATTTTGCAGCTTCAGATCCTTTGTCCTGTTAGTATGACATGAAAGCATCAGAGAATGATGTATAGTTACAAATTTACAAATTTTGATACATTTGACCGAAAATACTACCATCTAATCTACAAATTCAAACAACATATACAGGTTGCAGACTAACATTAAAATATAGGATTGGCCAAGCGCTATGGTGTTAAAAACATCAAATAAAATGACATCTGAATACAATCAGAACTATAGTGTTATCGAAGTTTCAACACAGCCAAAACTTGAGTTTCAATAAAATGAAACAAAAAAACATTTGCTTTAAGATACATAAAAAGGAAAGGAAACAATTATATAAATCACCAATTATTATAAAAGAGAACCAACCGTGCCATGATCTTTTAACCAGACAGGTATAGGCCGGTCAGCATTCTCAGGATTATAGGGATCACCGTGCAAGAAGTCAGGAACAACCACATAATATCCAGCAGCTGCAGCCTTGTCTGCAATGGCCCTTTACATCATAAAACAAACAGCATATTACTTTCCCATATTTGGTATCATAGAAGAGACAGACAAAGAAAGAGAGATTGGGCAAGGAGAGCAGAATGAAACATCCAATTCTATTGGTGGCATAATTTATTAAATAAATTTTTAAAAAGGTAGGCATCTCAATATAACAAATGATCAGGTAAATCACTTAAAGATTAAAAATCCAGTTATAATCTTACACATGTACAGTATGTGTTAGTGTGGTTCATCTGATTTACACACACAAGTTGCAATAGATATTCATTTAACTTACGCAATCCATAAGAGACATCATCTTTGATCCAAAACCTACAACCTAAGCTTTAATCCCTAAACCTTAAACCCAAACCCAAATCCTAACATACTCAACATTCCCACTTTTACCCAATGACACTTTATTTCCATTTTTACCCAAATGACACTTTAACTGACTTCCAACTGACAAACACAAGCAAGCACAATAACTGAATCATTGAAAGAATAAAGGAATAAGAATCAAATCAAATTTCATGAGAGGCAAACTTCTGTGTATCATTATTACTAATTGGCCAGAATGAAACAAAGATAACTTGCCATAACTTGTAACTTATAATATAAATTAAAAATGGACAGTAGATTTGAGAATTAGCCCATACCTTAAATTCGGTGCTTCATACCCTGCAAAACACATTGAGCATGTCAGGTTGAAAAAAAGAAGAAGTAAAAGATTGGTGATGCATAAGCAAAAAAATAATGAGGCAGAAAGGAAGAGTTGAAAATTAAAAGAGTACAGATGGGATTTTGAATATAGGTTACCAAAAACGTCAGAGATAAGAAGAACAGTAAGATTGGAATCGGGGGAGCCAGCAACATATGAATCGAGACCAGCGAGTTTTTCAACGTGACCAGCTCCTGCAGTAGGGTTCAGATGTGGTGGGTTTGAGCAGCATTGAGGTCCTGACATTGTTGATGTTAAGCTGTCACTCACTCTAAACGCAAATCCAACAACCCTACAATGTTACTGTCATATCTTTCCAACACTAGTTATCGTCTTTGTGAAGGAGAATGAATGCTAAGGTCAACAGATCAAAGAATAAATGGAAGATTCCATTCGACAAGTATACTTGTGACTTACCACATGGCTAAGGATCTCTACAGTTCAACTTTTAACTGCATCAATCTCAACCATTGAAATATATTTCTTAAACAAAACACAAAATTATATAAGAACAAGTGTACGGTGGAAGATTCGTGTGCACCCTTTTACAATTTTTTTTGGACTGCAGAGAACCCAGGTCACTCAGTACATTCATCTACCGTTTTGTATTGACATGCTTCACGATTATAGAAAAACACAAAATCTGTGATTGCAAATTATTTTGACATTATTGGTATATTTTTATTAAATTTTTTTATTTATTATTATATAGATTGATTTTTTTTTTAAGTTATTATCATTTAATCATATTAAAAATGTTAAGACTAACTAATAATTAGAGAATTATAAATTAAAATTCATCATGCAAAGTTCTAATTTCGATCATCTTCTGAGTCTAATTAATTAGTTTGATCGAGCCAAATTATTGACTAATAATCCGTTTAAAGGTGATCAAGTTCTAAAACAGAATCTAGAGAAGCTATAGTGAAACCCTAATAGAATAATTTAGTCATACATATTAAAACTATACAACAATAAAAGCAAAATATTTATTTTTAAGAAAAACAAAGTAAGGAAAAATTAAGGTCTATTAATAAAATATGATATGGATTTGGTTTCACATGAAGTATTAATCACGATCGTGTTTCAAAAGAGATACTAATCCAGCAAAATTTCCCTTTTCACAAATTATTCAGAGTAAATTAAACGAACAACATATGCACAAGACATTTTACATAAAGATCTTAAAATATGATGTATTCAGATTTGAAATCACAACACTCAAACAAACTCAAATACAACATTTATTTTCTGGCACACCACAAACAACTACGGGGATTGAGTAGCATTTACGTTCTCCACAATAGTACTCCATTGTACAATTTTAACTAGATTCTGACTTAAGATGTTTAGCAAGCCAATCCAGCAAATCCTGGTGAGCCTCCTCTGCCGCCTTTACAGCTTCTGCATCTTCACTGTTGTATCTGACAGCCCAACCGTGTGGTGCTTTGGGAAATATTTTAACAAAATTGGCAACCTGTAACATTGTGAAGTTATCAAGGTAAACATAACACGATGGACGAAACAAAGAAGGAAGAAATCATCTGACCCCCGATTTAGCAGCTAGGACTTGTTCAAATTGTTTCACAAGCTCTGGAGGAGAATATTCGTCAATCTCGGCTCCAAGTATAGCAATTGGAATATCAACACCTGAATGACGGACCAATGATTAATCATTTGCATATTAATACAAATGGATATACATAAAAATTATTCTTGCTGGTATTGCTCATTTCAGACAAAATTTTGAAATGATCCAGTTACAATTACAATTAAATAACACCCTTTGGTTTTACTGGGATATAGCTTTCTGCAGAATATTCTGTGTCAAAAAAATAAATAGCTTTCTGCACATTTACAAAATGTTTCATAAAAACAATACCAAAATGATTATGGTTATTTTATGATCAAATAACAGCAGATGTCGATATAATTTTAGTATTTCAAAAAGTAAAAGAAACAAGATAAAGGAAAGAAAAAAAAAAATAACAAAGGCACTCTTCCCTCATAGTCAATTATACAATTATAGTTACTGGGAAAGAAAATTTAATATCTCTCATCAGCACGAATGCAATACGATCCTTTACCAACCGGCAATAGACCTCTTACACTTAAACATGCTTAAATTGATGGTAATAACAATTGATATTGATATGCTTTTGTTTTGTTTCTTTTGAACAAGAAACCGGAACATGATTTTAGTAGCCTTTCTCCCTTATAGTAGATGCTAAGAGACATTCCCTGAAGAAAGAATATGCATATTAAGGGGAAAAAAGAATCTAAATATTGAAAATCCATACCCTTGATGTCATCCACGGAGACAAATGATGGGTGCAATAGCACCGCAGTTTGGATAAGTCGGGATTTCGCAAGTTCAACCGCGACCTTAGCTGAGAGATAATACATTATAGTACAACCTGTGAGCTCAATTATTAACTGTAAGTTGCTCTTAAAACTTTAAATCCAACCAATAAACTACACTTAAGAGGAGCTGAATCTGCTTTCAACATAAAAGGAAGGGGGAGATGCACGGAAAATAATTTGGTACTCACCACCCCAACAAAAACCAACACCAGCAATAGCTGAAACACCTTTACTTTTTAAGGCTTCAATTACGGGTTTTGAACCTTCAGCACCTTTCTCCTATTAATTAATTTGAGACAATCAGTAATGTTCAATCAACAAACCAAAACTACCATATGTGGCTGAAGTGATAATAACATTGCATTTACTAGATGTCTAAATCCAGTCATGCATCTTCCAAAATCAAAGTGTTCAAAGTTCCAATCAAGATACGAAAATTGGATGCTAGTAAAAGCACAGAATTTTGTTTTATGTATAAAAAAATAAACAACCAAGTAAGTTCCTTCAAATGGATATTTGCAAGCAGGAAAAATATTCTCCTTCTTCCTTTCTATGCTGGTGTTTGGAAGAGTTACAGTGAAAAATTACAATCCAAACAGTCTTAATATGAGATGAACTAACCACGGGTCCATGATCTTTTAACCAAACATGTAATTTACCCAAAGAATCGTCCGGCTTAAAGGGTTCACCCTCCAATAGGTCAGGAACAACCACATAATATCCAGCAGCCGCAACTTTGTCAGCAAGTTTCCTTCACAACAAAGAGAACTATTATTACTGGAGAAATGCATTACATTCATCATATTGAGAATGAGAGGGATAGACATGGGGAATGTTAAGTGAAAAAGGTATATACCCCAATGAGCCAGATAATTATAACATAATGCATGACCTTAAAACTCTAGCCATAATCTAACTTATTAATTACTATAATATTTAGCAAATTGGACATAGAAAACAGACATGAAAATTAACCATACCTTAAAAGTGGCGCTTGATATCCTGCAAATAAAAAGATTTTGCATTAATACAATACCACTAAAAAGATTCCGTATTGGGCAAGAAATCGTATGTATATAAATATATAAGAGAGACAACTCATGCAAGAAATTTATAGTCACACAAATCATAAAAAATCCAGATTATCAATGCAGCATTTGTATGATAAACTGTCAAGCGTCAAAGACAATTCCTCTCCCCAGTTTAAGATGCTGGTCTTTAGCCAGTCCATGCCTTTTATGATGAAAGAAAAGTTTGAGTGATGATAAGCCAAGGAAGCAAAGATTATTTTCGGTATTTTTTTTTTAAAGTTATTTTTAAAACTTAAATGCCAAGTAAGATGGTATCAGTAATCAGATCAAATATAATATTTTATGAATAATTTGTTCATGGATCTAAACGATTTTTACAAAGTCATTCAATTAAAAGAACATGATTGTATGATAAATTTATTGAGTATTACAACAACTATCATATTTTTAAATTGGCTGAAGATATATATAAAGAAAATTTCGCTATACCTAAAAATTAATCTCATATGCGTAAAATGTTTCATTCACACTTTAAAACACTGATTCTCCCTTTTGATTTCAGATTTGTGTTTTATGTTAATTTTACGTGTCCTGTAAATTTTCTGATAACAAATTCTTTAAAGTGAAAAGTGATTGCAAATGATCATCTAAACAGAATCTCAACAGTAAAAGTTGGTGAAAGAGAAACCCGAAAGGAAACGGTCAGAATATTATCAGAAAGATCAAATATTTGTCTCTAAATGAATATGAATGTATTAAGGAATTAATAATTTAGAACCGAAAACATAGATGAAGTACCGAAAACATCGGAGATCAATAGAACGGCGAGTTTAGAGTGAGGAGAAGCAGTGACATAGGAGTCAACACCACCCACTTTCTGGACATGCCCACCACTTCCTGCAGTGGGGTCAAGGATTGGTGGGTTTGAACAGCACTGAGACCCTGACATGTGTCTTTTCTTTCCCTCGCACACCTGTGTAACTCTCTTCTTCTCTTTGCCCACTACCCTTTGCTTTTTGGGGGAGACACATAATCTTTAAGTATAGCAGGGTATTCAATTCTTCAAGGTTAATAACTTTTATCACTGTTATTATTAATAACTTTTAAAATAATGACTGGTTTTAGAAATTAACTATCTAGAAGAATGATGTTAACAGGTTCGAATGTTAGTAATTTTCTTTAAATATTTCATGTACATCAATAATTTTGTAAAGGGATAAATTGACCGGCGACTGATAACTTTTTTATAATAGAAACTTACACGAGCCCTGACGTCAATGGATACAGAGTAGTTGTGGATGGATCAATCACCGCTCTCTATTGTGTCACCTAATCAATATAAAAAAATGAAAAACAACTTAGATGAACAAAAATATAACATTTTCAATTCATGTTGCTTACAAAAGTTGAAATAGTAGAATATGAAACTCTTTATTTTCCCAACTTTTTTTCTTTAAGGTTCCAACACTATCAAAGCTCACTTGCTTGTTTGAATAGTTACAGGCGTCATGGAGGAAGAAGATGCTATACCTCCTTTGTGTGGACGTATTTCATGGCCAAAACAATTCCGAAGACTACGTGATTAAATAAATCTCTAATCTAATTAAAACACTAAAGTAATCTAATTAAAACACTTACTAATCTAATTAGTTTTATTATAATAATAATATTTAAAAAAAATATTGTTTAATTTTATAAATAATTTTAAAATTATAAATCCCATATATTAAAATGAAATTTCAGTTATTACTTTGTAAATAAGCAAATGTATTTATGAATGATTAGTTGTTGAAATGAAATACAATCTTAATTTTAAAAAAATCACATTTTTATAAAGTATATTTTTGAGAAAGAATAGAAAAATTGCAAGAGGACAAAATAATTAGATGAGGTTTGTGGTGAAAGAAAAAATAGAGATGAATTTAAGAAAGAAATATATTACAAAGAAAAGATAGAAAAGCAGTCCATGATAAATTTGGGATAATATTATTCTTTTTTAGAAAAAAACATATCAAACTTTTTTTTAAAACCTTGAACATTAGATAAGAACATAAATTCTAGTATATCCCCTTATTTAATGTGCATTCTTCAATCTCGGTGATTCCTCTCTCTGTGTTTCTGTTGCTACCAAATTTCATTTGAAGTGTTGTGATGAAAATTGTTGTGTCTATTATTTTTTTTAAAGCCTTAATGTTATGTCAAACACAGGCTGTAAAAAACTATATGAAAGAAAAATTCATTATAATTTTTGTATACTTAACATAAATAAAGAAAAGATGGGAAAAAAATTAAACTGAATAGATTAATTTCATCTTTATCAACAAAAAAGAGAGAAAAAGTTGGATGAGACAATCATTCAACAGTGATAACTTCATTAATGAACAGTTTCATAGGATGTGAATCATACTCCACAAACATAAACAATTAGCTATGTCAAGAGAGTGAGTCAGATTTTGCTTCTCTTAGGTTCACTTTCGACTTTTTTTTTTAATAATTTTCGTCTTTATTTTTTATTTTTACTGAACTTAAAAATTAAGTTCTCACTTTTATTTATTAAATTTCGAGTTTTCCCACTTTTAATTTTTATATATTATTTTTAAAAAAATATTTATATTTATAATAAATTAATTTTTATATTTTTATATATAAATTAATTTTTATAACTTTTTAATTATTATTATTTATTAAATATATATTTTAATTTATAATATTTATATTAAAATATGTATATAAAAAATATATTATTATTATATTATATTTCCATGTATATATTAATTATTTTTAAGATGTCAATCTTAATAGATATTAAATATGTAATTTATAAGAAAATGTTTAATAAATTATTTTTTATTTAACTATTACAAAGTAATAAAAATTTTAATCATATTTTTTTAATCTTTCAAATTATAATTATTTTATTAAGATAAAATTTAATTTATGATAAATAAGAATAATAAAATTTAAAAAATATATATTTTAAAATTTGAAATAAAATAATATTAAGTATTTCTAAAATTATATACAATATTTAAAAGAGATAAAAAAATTAACTTTATATTTAATAAATTGACTAAAGAGATTAAAAAAATATAAAAGGAAAAAAATTAAGATAAAAAAAATAATGTAATAAAGTTATTGATTAAAGAGATCAAAAGATAAAATAATAAAAAATTATGTAAAAAAAAGTGTGAAATATATAAAAAAATATCTTATATATAATGTTAAAAGATAAAGAAAATTATTTTAAAAAAATTAATAATCTAGGATTTAGATTAAAATATAAGATTGGATAAAGACCAAGATAAATATGAGATTGCATTATCCATTTTTATCCAAATGTTCAACTTTAAAAAAAAAAAAAAATTCTCAACTCACATTCATATATTATCAACTCAATTTTTCTTTAATAAACTCGAGATGATTCATCATTTTCACAAATACAAATATAATTATCATTTATATAAATAATATATTATATAAAGATATAAATTTTTATTTATTTATAAAAAAAAGTTTTGGTTTGAAGAATATAGTTGTTTTTTTTTTAAGTAATATTCAACACAAATATAAAATTATTGGTTGCCAATCATTATTATTTCTAAAAAAATATTACAAGATTAATAAATTCATACTGTCACAGAATCAATATTTTTACCTATCTGTGTATGTTTTAGTGAGGAAGAAAAAAAAACTAGGGAGGTAGAAAAGAAAAAAAAGTCGTAATAAGTAGTATAATAAAAGGATGAAAAGGGGCAACATTTAACCATGTTTTAAATAAATAAATATGATAAAAAATATAATATCAATGTGATAAAAAATATTTTGCAATTTAAAATATAAAACGCTAAAATGTTCATAACAAATTTGCTAAACGTTTTTTACCTACAAATTTAAATGGTCACTAATACATATTTATTTATTATTTTAGTTTTTTTTATCATTTTAGTTTATGTAATTTGATATTTTATCATTTTAGGCCTCTTTTAGTGATGTAATATTTTGTCTCTAACATTATTTTTTAATAAAAATATATTGTAATGTCCACTTTGATATTTAAGTATCATTATACATAATTAGAAGAAAAAAAAGGAATTACATTTTATTATAGATAATAAATTTATTAATTTTTATATAAATTATTTAAGAAAAACACAAACCACAAAATTTTACTGTTTAACCATGTAATTTTTTATTGCAAACATGCATAGAAAACAAACTCATAATACAATTTTTATTTTATTATATTTACAGTTATTGAAATTTATAACCAATTTAATTTTGGTTTTCTAAATTAAAGACAAAAGAGATTTTAAGTTAGCTCGTAATTAGAAAAATGTTTTAATGTTTAAAATTAAGAGGCTTTTAAAAAAAATGTAGCCATTGAGATTTAATGTTTAAAGATTAGAATTATGTATTTTTTATTTTGAAGGATTCACTCAAGATACGAAGACTAGAAGATTAATTAAAACTAAGTTTTTAGTTAAAGAAGGAAAAACGATAGCAGCAAAAAACTAAACGTTGTGAGAAAGTATCTTGACAGTTAAAAAGAATGAAACATGGGCAGAAACAAACAAAACTGAAAATCCGAATCATTAGAGGGCTTTGTTCTCGGTCTCAGCAACAAATAAGTAGGGTCAGCGTCCTCTGCTATCTGATAAGGGTTTTTGCAGGGTTTATTCTTCCTTCAGTTCTATTATTTTCATCCAAGAAAACAATGAGGTCTTTGGAAAATGTAACGCATAAAGCAATAGAGGAACAGGAACCAATACTTCTGGAACAAAGCCAGAAGTTTTGCATGTTCCCCATTCGCTACAAGCAAATTTGGGAGATGTACAAGAAAGCTGAAGCAAGCTTCTGGACTGGTACTTACTTATTCCTGTTTCTTTCCCAAGTTATTCCATAAACTTCATTCCTTTCAGGTTTCAAGGTAATCCCTTTCCTAAAGGTTCTGCTTTTAATTTCCACTAATTCCTCTATTCTGCTTTTGTAACGATGTCTTTCACGCATTGAAATTCAACACAATATTGATGTATGTTATGGGTCTATTGAGTAATCCATTCTAATGGCTTATTTCAATTTCCATTTTGTAATCTTCGTGGCTTTCTATTGGGACCTGGGGAAGTGTGAGTGGGGATATCATAAATTACTGTTCCATTTAAAAAAACGTTTTTTTTTTTCTGAGTACTTTTTGTGTACTTTTCTTTCCATCTTTCTTTTTCTTTATTAATGGGGAAGTGGAGATGTTTTCTTTATTTTCGTATCAGTAATGACTATTGGCCAAGTATATGTAGATTGGTTTGACAGACACAGCACCAGTAGTTTCATGTACAAGTTTGATTTAGCTGTTTATTTTCCTGATTTGAACAAGGATTTTTAAACTATGGAGAATTTCCAATCATTAATTTGAGTATTTAAATATCTATTACTTATTAAATCATATTCCACCTGTTTCTCCGATGGTACATGATAACATTGGCTTTTGTTTGAGCAGATTAGTGTCTATGTTTCTGATAAAAGCAAAAATAAACTAGAATGTGAAGTTATGTACTTTAAACTCATCAATACTTAGAATTATAATTGTTAAAGATGAACAACACTAACACTGGGTCTCGCCCACTGAACATCTTGAAATAAAACCAGGCTTTCGAAATATGTTTTGTAATATAGAAATAGCTCGGGAAGATGGTTCTTTTGCTTACATGATCTAAGATTCTTGTGATGACTCAATTGAAGTTCATGTGAATCCAGTTGCCGTAAAACCACTTTTGTGGAAGTCAAAATAAGGGAGCTATTTGTTGGCTATTGAAAGAAAATAGTCACAAGTTTATGGTGGCATTAAATGCCAAGCAAAAGAAGAGAAGTCCCTTCTTCGCAAAAGAAGAGAAGTCCCTTCTTCTCTATAAATACTGGCTTCCTCCTATGTTTTGAAAAATCATCCCAGAGAGAATA